GGCACGAGGCGTGAGCTGGGGATGGGAGAGGAACCCCGTGTGGGTGCGGGTCAGCAAGGCCGCCTTCCTCTGGGGTGTGTGACGGTGAATGCCTGAAGCCCCTCGGAACATCCATGTACGGGCCGGCAGAGAGAGACACAGGCGGGTGAGAGGGCTGCAGGCCTTGCTCAAGCCCCATCCGGGTCTCCCTGCCGGCCTTGCAGAACTAAATGCTGTTGGCCTGGGCAAGGCCTCCACACGTAAGGAGCCAGCTAATGGCCACGGGGCTCATGACACTGAAGGTCTGTGTCATGGGGCTCCCACCCACCCCAGGCCTCGGTGCTGGTCGGTCCCCACTTGTGGGGATTGCCAGGAAGCCAGTCTTCCCGCCGGTTGCCCACGGCAAAGTCAGCAGCCCGAGAGCCGGAGCTCGGCGAGAAGCGGCCAGAGAAGGCCCGCCGCTTCCTCGGGCCTTTGCTGGTTGATGCCCTGCTTCTGGCTTCTCCCAGGATCCCCGGCTGCCGGCCACGTGCGGATTCTTGTGCAAAACCCACCCCCTGTTTGTTTTCCCCTCCACCCAAATGGAGCCCCTGTTTGGTTCATTTCTGCTCGGTGGCTTCTTTGGAGGCTGTTGAAACAGACCGGAGGGGGACCCTCGGCAGCGACGGTTCCGTAGCTCATTATCTTTCCCCAAACCCGATTATTAGCTCAGATTTCTCTGATCGCTAGCTGCTGTTCGTGATGAGTTGTGTGCCACTAATGCCAGCTGGTTCCCTTAAACAGGACCCACCATGCCAGGGAAAACGGGCTGGCATTCAGAGCCACCAGCCACTTGGCTTTTTCATTTTAATGGGCTCCACCAAATGTCCCAGGCCAAGGGGGCCCCGAGGAGCCGGAACAGACGGGCTCCCAGCCCCCGGCCGGCAGCCCACCCTGGCTCTCACCGGGGCTGTGGCCATGCTCGCTGCTGGGACCGTAGGGCCCGTGTTGGGGGCCGTAGGAGCAGAGGGGGTGAGTGGCCACTTGCCTTCCCTGTGTTCATGCCTGCCTGCCACCCGCCCATCACTGGCGCCCAGGAGCCTGGGCCTTTTCCCCACTACATCGATCCCAGCCCCTTCTCTGGGGATGCGCCTGTTGGCCATGCACTCAGAAACGTGTGTGTGTGTGTGTGTGTGTGTGTGTGTGTGTGTGTTACTTGGTCTGTGTTGGGGAGACTCGGGTGGGCTTTGGGAAAGGGGAGGCCAGAAGGGACCTGATCCCCCAGCATGGCTTTCTCTCCTTTCTTCCTCTCTAGCCTGGGCTCCCATGTGGGGTGCGAGAGACAGGCTGGGTCAGTCACTCTGGACTGTGCCACCCTAGCCAGGGAGCGGAAGGCTTAGGGCAGGAGGCAAGTCTGCAGGTTTGCTGCAACCGAGGCCCCTATTCCTCCTTGCCCTGGACCATACTCTGGCCCCGCCTGCCCACAAGCTTCCCGTTGGCCTCTGGGAGGGCTCCTGCTCCCCACGCCCCTCACCCTGTGCAGCGGTCCAAATGCATGTTTTGAACCCAGACCTTCTGATTTCTAGTTTGGGGTGGGGAGTCCAAAGGCTCTGTCTTCCCCGCCTGGAGTGCCTCCCCGATTTCACTCCTCGGGGCCCCAGCCCCAAGCTTGTCTTTCCGGGAGGGCTTTCCTGTGCAAACAGCCAGGTTTAAATGGCACGTCAGGCATTAAAGCACTCCTCATGGTGGTGGGGGACAATTGGAAATTAAATAGCACAGTGGTTAAGAACACAGCTTTGGAATTAGCATTCCCCGGGTTCAATCCTAGTTTCGCCTGCCTCCTAAGAGCTGTCTGTCCTTGGACAAAATTACTTAACCTTTCTGAACCTGAACCTGTCTGAACGTCTCTTTTAGAAGGGGTAACGCCCTATCTAAAAGCCTTGTAGCGGGGCCCTAGCCAGTTTGGTTCCGTGGATAGAGTGTCAGCCCCTGGACTGAAGGGTCCCAGGTTCGACTCAGGTCAAGGGCATATACCTCAGTTGCAGTCTCAATCCCCAGCCCTGTCAGGGACCATACAGGAGGCAACCAATTGATGTGTCGCTCCACATTGATGTTTCTTTCTCTCTTTCTCTCTCTCTCCTCCTCCTCCTCCTCCTCCTTCTCCTCTTCCTCCTCCTCCTCCTTCTTTTTCTCCTCCTCCTCCTTCTCCCTTCCACTCTCTCTAAAATACCAATGGGGCTGGGACCGGTTTGGCTCAGTGGATAGAGTGTTGGCCTGCAGACTGAAAGGTTCCGGGTTCGATTCCGGGCAAGGGCATGTACCTTGGTGGCGGGCACATCACCGGTGGAGGGTGTGCAAGAGGCAGCTGATCGATGATTCTCTCTCATCGATGTTTCTAACTCTCTATCCCTCTCTCTTCTTCTCTGTGAAAAATCAATAAACTATATTAAAAAATAAAATAAAATACCAATGGGAAAATATCCTCAGGTGAGGATTAACAATTACAACAAATAAAAAAAATAAAAGCCTTGTAATGGGGTTTATTTCATGTGAGGTGAGTGGCCGAGCATCTTCCCACCTCTTTCCACACTTTCCCTCTCTGCATTCTGTGGGAACATAGTCCCTGGTATCAT